TAGTGTGTGTGTGTGTGTGTGTGTGTGTGTGTGTGTGTGTGTGTGTTTGATTTTTAAATAACATTCTTAATCAGAAAAATTTTTTTTATTTCTTTATTCATAGCTGGTTACCACAGAATATTACTCATAGCTGGTTTTACAAAGTCTTTCACTGGGACCATTTTTTTACATTTAAACAAGATAAATTTTCAATGAAAACTTCTGCATGAGTGCTATATGCATTATGAGTGTGTTTAAATTTAATCACTAAGTAACATTAATTAACTTATCAATTTATGATTAATTTTAAACTTTAGTACTTTTGTCATTAAGTACTTTATGTAAATGGTCAGATAAAATGTGTATCTCTTTAAACAATATTAGCTAAGTTTTTAACAATCAAACCTACCTGCTGTTCCAGCCTGAAAAATGAACAAGATATTCCGGGACTTTTCTTCCTCTAGTGTCTCGATTCACCACCAATTCTAGAACCTATACAATACAGAATAACTTAATTTGATTAGTCCTGTTTCTTTTCAAACACAACCACAGTATTAATAGCACCTAAGATCTGATCCTTGCTATGTCTGAGTAGGCTACTCAACAACAACAACAAAAAAAAAAAACTTTTCAGTAGTAAAGAAAAAATTTCAAAGGTATTCAACATACAAGCCATGAATGCATGACTCATAAGGAACTAAAACATCATTACTGTATTTTAAAAAATCCTTTACCCTCCCCCTTTTTGCTCTTCATGCAAGTTAAAAAACAAATTATTACTGGATTTGATATTCTGAGATACTAATTCTCAAAATTTTGGCTTTTATTATGACATACTTCACCTCTTTGTCACTCTCTTTTGCTTTGTTAGCTAAAGAAAAAAATAATAATCTTTTCAGAATGCATTACTGAATACTAAAGAATTTTTTGCTCTTCATTGTCATTTTACCACACGTGAAGATAGTCAATTTCTAATGAACTTATTTAAAATCATCATTCTAATGAATAAGGTGAATTTGTACAATATGTTTCCTACACGTTTCATCTTGCAGGTTCAGTCGTAATTCCTAGATATTAAAATTACTCCAGTTGTCAGGTAAATGGAAACAGTTTGGTACTGCAAAACAAAACTGCTTTAAAAAGTGCCATTTTTCTAACAGAAAGAACATAAGTGATAGGATGGCCTTTGATTTGTTTTGGAATCTTCACTGTTTATTATATATTTCAATGGCTTGAATAGCTCCTTAAACTTTATTTCAAATTTATTGATGTTAATCTAATTGTGAGAAGGACTGATACTGTTCAGTTTCTCTAATTTTTAGCAGCAGGGCCTACTCAGTCATATACAAATGTACTCTGTGCAAAGTTAAAAAGATACAGTGACAATACACAGCTAAAAACTGTTGTTAAAAGAGAAAAAATATACTTGACAAGCTATCTAATATATGTTTGTAGAATGCCTTCACAATTATAATCATTTGTGTCACATCAACTAAACGTACAAAGTTCAAACAGAAAAACAATCTAATGAAAAACATAAATGTTACATATTTTAGAAACATTTTAAAAATTCTGACCCTTCTCCCTACCTTTTGGAGGGTATAGCTTTTATTATTATATCTGAGGTATCAATCTCAAATTTTCCACAATTACTCCTTTTATTTGCTTAGTACCTACAGAATTACAGCAAGATCAGAGACATACAGGTTGAGTTAATATGAAGAGATCATTTAGTCATTTAAAAAATAGAATAACTGTTACAAGAAATTGCCTTGAACTTCAGTTTATCTCAAACAAATCCCTTACAGGAAGATAATGAACACCCAACATTCACTTTATAATACAGTGCTTCATTTCAGGTTATCAAATTTCTTTGAAACTAATAACAGATAAACAAATCACCTACATCTAGTTCCTGTACATATATCATGGGTAATAGAATTTAAAACTTTGATAAATAGTGCCTACACATTTTCCTGAAATATTAATGTACATCTCAGAATTAAAGCCAAGATACGAAACAGAATTCTCCCTAGTAGGATCTTTATTGTGCAGAATAAAATAAACTTCTAAAAGACATTCAATTACAGTCAAGTTTTTGAAATGGAAACCCAATTTATATTTCCAGTAAAATTTTGCTGCCTAAACAATATAATAATAATAATAAATTATATATATATATATATATATATATATATATATATACATAATTTTCCCAATTCATTGTTATGAAACTAAACCCAAAATTCTCTCCATTTAATTTCCCTATTTCCATGATCTTTAATAATTGTACAACATTAAGAACATTATTAATAAGCTACTCATCAACTGTTTTCTCATTCTTATTATCAACCCTGAAACTCTACACTTAACAGCAATATGACTAGGTGAATTTTTTTTAATTTATTAGCTTATGAATGATGCCTTTAGTTCTGTTAAATTAGAATAAAATTCAGTCATTTGAATGTTTCCTTCTGCTTCAGGTAAGATTAAAAAAAAGGTGTAAGCGAGAGTGTAAAACTTAAATTATGCAAAAGATATTCTGAGATACATTATTTAGTATTTTCTGTTTTCAGTGTTAATAATGAATATCATTATACAAACCCGAGTACAAACTTATTTATTATCATAAGGTTTTACTGATTCTTAAAAGGGCTTATGCATTGCTCTCAGCCCATGTTAACTTATAATAAAAAAAAAATTACAATGCACTTCAGATAATTTTTTTAAAACTGTCAATATAACGGTATGCAATGTAGTAATTAATAATTTTGTTTTCACTTGCTTTATGGCTTTTGAAATTGCATTAGAAAAAGGTTAACTTAAATAGGAGAGAAATTAGAACTTACTTGCAATTATTTGAAAATATCATTCTGTTGTTTTTATTGTTTTGGCACGCGCACACACACACACACACACACACATATATATATATATATATATATATACATAATACATAAACACGATACTTATACACTATATATTACGTAAATGATACAACGTTACATGAAAATGGAATGATTTTGTAAAATTTTTGTATACTGCATTTTGGTGTTATACAGTTAGAATCAGAAGGTTTAAATTGTGTATTTAAATGTTTAAATATGATTTTGTAACATTTTTGTATACTGCATTTTGGTGTTATACAGTTAGGATCAAAAGGTTCAAATGTGTATTTTAATATTTAAATGTTTAAATATGATTCTGTAAAATTTTTGTATAGTGCATTTTGGAATTATACAGTTAGGATCAGAAGGTTTAAATGTGTATTTTAATATTTAAGTGTTTAAATATGATTCTGTAAAACTTTTGTATACTGCATTTTGGTGTTATACAGTTAGGATCAGAAGGTTTAAATGTGTATTTTAATATTTAAATGTTTAAATATGATTTTGTAAAACTTTTGTATACTGCATTTTGGTGTTATACTGTTAGGATCAGAAGGTTTAAATCTGTATGTAGATGGTTTTACTGGTCATATATAGGAATTTATTGCAAAAATATTGATGTTGTTCAGTGACATCTAAATAAGACAAATGGCTTAAAGAAACATTTAAAGTGAATAGTGTTGATGAAAAATCTGTTGGGTCATTAATATTATTGTTGATTATTATACTTAGCATGATTTTTGAATTTCATTAAAATTCAGTAAGTCAAGAAAATTAGATTATAAGTTTGGAAATAGCTTGAATTGGTAATGAAAAATTATTATAAATAAAAAATGTACTATGTTTCGATCTTTTGTCATCATGTTGAATAAAATAATTTTGTATTTTAAAACATTTCAGAAACTCTCGTTTGTTAATTCTCTGTATTCAGAGTCAGTCATTTTGATCAACCTTGCAGCCACCATGTAATCATAAACTATACGTACCATTATTCTGAATGTATTAAGTGTGTCTTTACAAAAGTCTGTTGCACACAAAAAATAAGTTTTTTAATAAACACCATCTCTAGAGCATGACACAGGATAAGTATTGAGCCAGGGATATGGGAATGTAGCATCCGGTATCCAAGGGAAATCCATCGCATGCAATCAACTCCCGCAACTGTGAGACTGGTCCAAAATGTACAAAGTTCAATAACATCCCCATTGCATGAGAGAAATGAGGGAGTACAAAGGACAGAAACATCCCACGTATACCCTCCTTGACCTACTACACAGAAAGAAGAATCAAGGGAGGAAGATGGACAGCCCTAAATCTGTATGAGAACTTAAGTTGATTAGTTCACTTGATATCCAAAACCAGCCCACAGGGTACCGACATCATTTAAACATCTCACTCCTTGGTATGAGTCACTCAATCCGGAGGATGATACACCTTCTATACCAGCAGAACACCACTGCCCTACTCTGAACTGAGTGGTTATAGCCATCTATGTGAGACCCATCCAGTAGGATTCCTCCATGGGCAACGACCCCAGCAGTTTTGAACTGGCAACTGGTAAGGACTCCCATACTCCATTGAACGAAAGAGGGGGAAAGAGCATTGGAGAGTCCAGAGGAATGGCTACACCCGAAACAGTGCATTGGGTGATCATGAAACCCTATTCTGAAAAGCAGACCATACCGATTTATTCAATCATGGCATGGCAGGGATGGAAAGCTATCCTCTTCTGCTTTACCAATGCTGTGCATGGGTGGTACAGTCCGAGATGGGTCTATTTAAGAAGCAAATATCATGAGGTTATTGACCATCAAGTGATCTTTTGAAACATCTCATCTCGAAGGTAAACGCGTGACACCATGGAAAGAGTGTGTGAATCAACATGGCGTACAGTTCAGATTTGTTTGTGTGTGTAAAGTACACTGGTCAGGCATCACTCGTCACAGAGTGGGATCCAAGAGATGAAATTCGAAGCAAGAGCTCCTGAAAGAAAAGAATGCATTAATAAAGACTTACCTAGTGTCGTAGCTGCACAGAAGTCTGAAGTATAGTCGCAGGTGGTAGACGATACCCCATGTAAGCAGAAACCACAACATGATGTAAGTAATGGGAGATGAACGTCTGAGGGGCAGTCCACATGCCCAACTGTAGAATCTCCTCCAAAGGCAGACAAAGACAAGAAGCAAGGGAAAAGTTTGAATTTGATGAGAGATAACACGAAATAAAGCACATTGGGAAGAGGACGAAGAGGAATAAGCCAACTGGATTAAAAGACTAACCCAACTGGTAAGGATAAAGGAAGAAAGATCCCAAGAGGAAGAGTGTTGCCACGGAATAAAGAGACTGGAATGGGAACCCCTGAAAGAAGCCATGTAGGCAATATAACAATGAAGGGCACACACAGGGCATAGAAGTCTATCTGGATCAGGACAAGGGTAGAGATGAGAAACACCAGGAAGGGAAATTGGCAAAAAGTAGGCATTACCCTCGTGACCCACTAAGGTCTTGGGAAGGAAAGAACGATCCAGATAGGTTTGTTGGTACAGAGTGCAAGTGACATCGATTGCACATAGATCTTACCGACATTGCCAACAAACCAAAAGG